CAGAACGAACCCCAAACAGCACTGCGCCAACCTGCCCGCGCCTCTATTGGGCACACCCCTCCCCGCTGTCATCATAACTTGAACAAGTCCATAGAAGGAGGCACGATCGCTGGGACAGGAGCTTTATTAACCTGACGTTTCGGATTCCTGCTCGAACCCATCATCAGAGACAAAAGCACATACGGGTGGTTCATGCATAAGGGGCTGCAGTATTTATAGGATGTAGTCGCTATGCTACCGCATACCTATGAATAGTCACGGCTACCCCTTCCCTTCATCAGGTATCGTTGCACTTGGCGTGCTGACCATTTGATGGCCGACATCCGCGCCGTTAATTGCTGCAATTTCATCACGTGTGTTGGATGTTGGTGTGATGATTGCTCGACCATCTGACGCACTGACCCTGGTGTTGGGAATAATGCTCACCTGTGAGCTCCCCGCGTTGCCAACTGCTCCGCCTAGGCAGTCTCAGCACCGAGTATGGAAGGGGAAGATCATTGTATTTGTTAATGGACTGGGGGCCAAAAAACTATGACTCAAGCAGCTCCCGGCTCACGCGGTTGTCACCTCTTGCGAGAATTTTGGCCTCGTCAAATTTGAATGTGTGGCCGGATCTCGTCGAATAAGCTGCAACTTGAGAGCTAGCGTCATTTCTGCGCACCGCTGCAGTGTGTTCTGCCATCCTCGTTCGGAGCTGTCTTCCGGTTTCTCCGCAACTGCACCAGAACCGATAAAGGACTCCAGACGTTTCTTGCCGTGGCAGTGGGTCATTCGGCTTCACTAACTGACGCCTGATGGATGCTCCCGGTCTGTGTGCAACTCCAAACCCAAGTGGTGCGAGAAGGCGGTCGACAGCTTCCGAAGCATTCTTGACATACAGAAGCGCTCGACGCTTCTACCGGACAAGTCCAGCCTGTTCGTGGCCCCGCGCCACACGCTAGGTGTTCGTTTGCTTGGGGAGGTCATTGGAACAATGCACGCCTATTTCCGTATGCGCAAAATATACATATTTGAGGATTTTTAACTGAAAACGCTGACAAGAAACTAGCTGAACGAACATCGTCGGCAGGGTGACTGTATTTTGTTGTCAGTGTATCCCAAAGTTAAATCGAAACACTACCGCCCCCATCATGAAATCAACTTCCAGGCCGGACTGTATCCTCTCGACGCGGCAACCCACCAACACCAATCCAAAGTCATTGCTGAGCGCTGTCCAGAATGTTTGCGGGAACAGTATCAGCACAGCCAACCCCCCGATAATGTCACCCCGTACTAAGGTGCACGCTTCTGAACAGTGCGTTTCCCACTAAGCCCTGAATCTATCAAGAAGTAAACCTTGCCCATAAGCCGCAATGGTTAAATTTTGCTGCCGTATAAAGTTGTCACAATTCCTTCCTCGACTTTATGGCGCAGGCCTTCGAATGCATTACTTTCGAGGTGGCTAATCAAACGCCGGCCGAATCACTGTGATTTTAGGATATGAATATTATGGACATATCGTCGAAATCATCCTTCCCGAGGCGGATAACTAAATACAGACGTCTGCCATGTGGGCAAGGATTCCAGATAGGGGGGGGGGGAGGAGGAGGAAGGGATGGTCATATTTCCGCCCTGTTTAATCTAATTCAGAAAAACTAAACTGATATCAGGTATGAAGTTTACACACTAGGCCTCGGGGAATGATCCGCCCTGGGTAATCCAAACAACTTTTTCTCGCATTCCATCCCGCCATCAGGAAAGTGAGTCTGAAGAACAGATTTGCTCGATGTCTTCCCGGAGAAACATTTTGCATTCGAATTCCAAACGATTCCTCTCTTCTACGCATCCTCCGATAGACTAGTGCTATTGATTTCTTCCCCCCTCGTGGCACACAGGACGCGCGGTCAAGGCTACCAAGATGAGGAAGGAGACACGGCGATTAGCAAGAACGTAACTAGAAATTGACAAAACCTTTTCCATGTACAGCAAACAAATGAGGAAAAATTCATCACAGAGGACTTGTAAGAGTATTCAAATAAGAAGGCAGTGAAAAGACAAGGCAAATAAATAAAGCAAGTTCTTCATTTTCGGCCACTTGGGATAGTAACATTGATCACACCGGCACAGAAGATATGGACAAGCTGGTCAGGCGCGCAGAATGGCCGCCAACGCCAGGTACTTAATGCGTCCTAGAGCAAATAAAAAATGGTGTGAGTAAACGTGGGAAGTTGTGGCAGTTAGGGAGAAGACGTGTACAGTAAGTGACCGATGTCATGAAATGTTGGTTGAAATTCTGAAATGCGTTTGCGAAGGAGTATAATTAGGTCTTAAAAAAGTTTTCTAATTGCCGAATAATTTGGAGCCTGATCATTCGTCGCATTAGCGTTTAGTGATTTCACTCTACAAGGTGCATGCGTTCCGCGTAGAGAAAATCACATATTTTTTATGCCATTAAAGAGATATCATACAGAGTCCATAAAATTTTGCAATGGATGCAGACCATGTTTTACATTTCATGAGGAGCAGTGGTAAACGACCAGGTACGATGCTATGTGAATGGACATTTCGCGCTCTGAAAAAGTCTCATAATTAGGAACTTTTTAAAAACCTAATTATACTCCTTCCTTAAGCATAAAATATAAAGAAAACGTGATTCTCTATTGATTGACTAAAAGAAAGCCTATTTTTGTTTATGGTTTCTATAAAATATATTTGAATTTGCAAAACCATCGAAAATCAATGGGAAAAATGCATGCTACTTAAGTAGTCATTTTTACCAAGTACGCTTTCTACAGGAGATTGAAAAGAAGTGCATTTAAAAACCGACATCCTGCCGAGTCCGAAATGTTATAAGAGTATGTCTTAAGATAATCAGTATTACAACCGCGACCAAGTAATCCTTCCTAGTCGAAAATGCATTTCAGAATTTCAGCCAACATTTCATGAGATCGGTCACTCACTGTACATCACAGTTCAGATGAGACAGCAGATAGCAAGACGGTACGAGAGATAACCGGTGTGGAAATTCCGCCAGGCATCGATCGAAGGATTCGTCTACCCTCACTCCGCCCACATGCATGAGATTGACTGTTCAACCGTCGCAAGCGACGACGTGCACAGGGCGCCCCACGGACTGCACGCAGCATTGGACGCAGCGCGAATTAGTGGGCCAGACTTGCGTAGCATCTGTCGAAATCTCTCCTCCCTCGCCCACTGTGTCCCGAATGCAGGCCTATGCCCAAACGACCGGAGGCAGGCGCAGGCGAGTAGCTGACAAAGTTAAACAGCCCGTCTACGCGTGCCATCCACAAGACCTGGTTGCCGTCACAGGTAGGCCCGTATCTTACACAAGTGGCAATGTCGTGAAGACCACACCAAGAAGGGACCATTACAGCCTCAGTCCTGATGAGGACCGGGTTGTCCCCTTGAGCAGAGTGGCTGAGGCGGTCTACGCCTAGTATACGGCAGTGGCAATGGACTCAGGGGAACTTTGGCCAGCCAGATCAATGTCTTCTGTGGGGGGCCAGTCTGATTCTCGTTCTTGGTCCAACGCACTCGTTCGTGTTCAACCCTGGGCGTTCCAGGGAGTCCGTATCATCTTACCGATTGGCAATTCTAAAGTGGCCGATGGCAAAAACCGTCATACTGATACTCTAATGATATAAACTTTTACCAGGATGTCCAAGACTTTGAAGGCCACGTAGGCGCAGACAGACGAACCGACTGCGCAAGGGGCGGCTTAAACATTGAATCATCCTACTCATGCCCCCCCCCCCTGACACGCACACGAAGAAGCTAAGACTAGGGTCAGAGGAGGATAGCACCTCTATACGTGGTCGCTAGATCGAAAAACCACAGTCAGGCGTCAAGGTGAGGGAGACAGTGACTTTTATGAACATCTTTCAAAACAGGTCGACGGGGTGAGATGCCATGTTCCGACGTGATATCTGCTGCACCAACGCTCCCCCCAGTCCCCAGAATTGGGTTGGTCCACTGGCAAATTGCCGGGTAGAGGGACAGCAGGCTCGACTAGATTATTTCCAGATCAGGTCGGCTAATGCAATTTATAAGAATGATGCTGAAGAAGAAGCGATGATGATGAGACAAGTCAATCCCAAGCCTCTAGCCAATGGACGAACTAGCGTCTGGAGCCTCAAACTTAAAGCCAAACTGACGTCTAGTCACAGTGTGTGAGTGGTGAGTCTAATGCGACCGACGGCGTGGATGTTATTGGTTCACAATAGGGGGGCCATGGGGGGTTTCAATCCCAGATTGGTCAGATATGACCTTAAGACGCCAAACCTGTGAGGATGAGCCGTCCTACTCGACTCGCATGTGCCCTAGCTGCTGCTAATGATGCGAAAGCTCTCTACAGGATTGGAGGTTTGTCCAACCAATAAGATCAGCCAATAGTTCAGCTGACAAACCAACCACGCAAGGACATCGCCCGAGTGGCCGATTATTAGCCTGACCTTGTGTACTCCCAAATGTCTATTTTGTGCTTTATGTACGTACTTGGTTATTCGTTAACAGGCTTTTCTTCTAGCCCTGCCTTTGAGTTCTGATTCGAGGATTTTTTCATGTGGGCTTGTTTAACGTAAGACTAATAAGGCGTGCAGTGGGTCATAACAGAACCGAAGTTTCACTGGGCACAATGTACCCCTCCCGCCGTCAAAACCCTCCCCTTCTGAATGAAGTGTGTCAGTTCAGAAAGAAGACGAGGGTATCTGTGTGTTCAGTTAGGCACCACTTACCGAGTCAGGAAGTGTTATGACGTTGTCTTCCTCCGTTTCGTCGGATTCGCGGTTGTCTGATGCGGCAGTGTGCTCCGACAGAGGAGATTCATCAGCCGAATTTGCCTCCCCTTCAGATGCAGCTCCTTCTACATCGATACCTCTCTTGCTGGCCTCTTGCCTCAGGTTTTCAAGTTCTTCCTCACTGCAGGGTCGGAAGCACTGGGCAAAACCAGCGCCATAGTTATAAAGGTCACGGCCTAAGGGGTGGAAATAAGAAAAAAACGGCATGACGCAGCAGTTTGCACAGAGGGAAGTGGCATATGTCGATGGGGGAGTCGCGGAGACTAGTGGACGAGTGAGGCCGTCTCTGTTCAACCGACAGTTCGACCGTCTTGACGGGCAATGTCTATCGTATGCTTCACAGCGGGGAGAGCGCAGTTGCGTGGTAGTAGACTTTAACCGCACCTACTGCACTCCCTCCTCGCACTTCCTCGCACATGGGCCCGGTATCAAGGCAGAGACGAAGATACCGGAGGCGGAAGAGGGAGCCGATGGTTGGCATGGGGAAAACCCGCGTTTATGCGTACAACCACACCCCCTGGTCCACGGCATCGACCAGCCAGGATTTAACACCAAGAAAAAAAGACGTGGTGAATTGGAACCCAGTGGGCGTGGCGTTCGTATCCACCAGGGCCTGCGGCAACACCACCCTAGATGTGCGCATTCCCGATGATGCTTGTCAGACTCTGATCTGATCTGTTGGTTCAGCGGATCTACCGCGTGACCCCTTTCAGGGCAGTTCTGCTCGACCATGAGGAGCACCACCACCACCACCGCCGCCGCCGCCGCCGCCGCCAGTAACCGCATAATGATCGAGAGAGCAGAATATTTCTGAAGACATATTATAGAAGGCGAGGAGTCATCGCGGTCAGTAGGCGTATTGTCAGACGGAGTCCAAGCACCACAAACCTCCTGACGCAGCGTCAGTGCACTGCCACTGAGCTAGAGGCGATGCGCTTTCCGGCCGCACGAATCGATCGACACCCATCCCTGATTGACAAGATCTATGGACTTAGCGTTTCAGCCTCTAGCACCTGGAGATGGTGGATCACGGTATCTTCCCCATCTCGGACTTTAGAAATAGCCTCGCGCGGACAGGTTGCCGCCTTCTGTTGAATCTGGCGCAGTGGCGATGGCCTGTTACCCCCTAAAGTTAGGAGAGGGGAGGGGTTGAGTAAAGGAGTCCTGCGTTACTCTGGATTTCCAAGGATGCTGTGTGGTCAAGGATTGACGGTGTTCACTCAAAGAAAGCTAGAAGTTCGACGGTGTCGTCGTGGTTGTGCGGTGCTGTGGACACAGCCTCGTCAGACATCAGTGCAGGCAACGAGGTGCTGGTTTTACCAAGGGCAGATACAATGTATCTACGGACGTCGAAATCGGTGACCGGCACAGCGACCACCCATTGGACAATGTAGTGGAGAGGTACGCCTTTGTTTTTACAGTCTGATTATGAAACAAATTAATGAACTGTCGGGCAAGACCGGAAATTTTGGGTTTGCGACTAGCGTTGTCCACTAATGGCCCATCGGCTGAAGCCCGCTGGCGTCGTCTGCACTGTGATAACGCTGCAAGGCCGCCCCAAGTCACCTAAGAAAGATGGTTGGCGCGATTTCGGAACGCTGCTTGTAGCCCGCTCCATGAAATCCATACTGCTGTCCAAGGTGCGAAATCGCCAACTAGCTGTAAGTGACGAAATATTCAGCTCCAACTCTGGCGCAAAGCAGTGCGTCAGGACACGAAATCTGCTCTTGGAACGTTGGCATTCAGCATTCGTCGCTAGAGGAGAGAGAGAGTGAGACAGTCAGATGTAGAATGACCCCATTCGTAACATCAATGAGACGTGCCAGGTCACATTTGATCGTGGCCGTATAAAGTGTATGCTCGCAGTGCGCCCGCCGTAAACGACGAGGAAGACCACTGCTCCGGGATACAGTCGCTGGCAAAGCAAGACGGGCCGTCTACGCGTGCCACGCACGAGAAGACCAAACACGCACGCTCGGAGGTTTACACACTCTGAGACACAGAAGACAGACGTGCGCACAAGTACGTGCGAATAATTATTCTCGTTCTTGTTTCTGTCCGTATTTCAATCTTGGGAATGTGGTATCCCAAATACAGACGTTTTACCGTACTCGCCAGACAAAAGCAGACAACAGGAGACAGAAGGGTAAGCACGTACCGAGAAGATAGAGACGACCAGCGTGGCTCACCAGGCTCGGCGCCAACGAGGACGGTGAGGACTCTGACGACAGCAGAAACCACTGCCCCCCAAGGCGTGGGGAGCTATCGTCATCGTCGCCGTTGTCGACACCCATCTGCGGAGTGAAGACGGCAGTCCTGGCAATGTTGTGCCAGCCTCTGATCGAGCCGCCTACCACGAAGATGCGACCGTTCAGCTCAGCCGCGCTGACATCCACTCGCGGCTCCGGCAAAGGTGGAGCGCGATGGATCCAAGTTGAGTCACCAGTGGTCGCAACACGAAAGAAGGCCTCATCGTCGTCGTTGTTCACACCAGCATGACTTGGCACGCAGTACTCCACTGACTTCAAATATTCGTACGAGGAGGAGCGGCCGCCAATCAACAGAATGTACCGATTCTGCAGTGTCACCAGACACGACTCGCTGCGAAATGTTGGCAATTGGGGGCCTTCTTTCCATCTGCGGATAGAGATGGGGTCCAGTAAATAGGTGTGAAGCATATGATTTAACGAGAAAATATTACAAAATTGATTAATTTTAGAGCTTCTTTGATTAAGGAGGGGACGTTGCAGTAGAGTGCCTTGCTCACTGTGCTTGAAACAGGCGGTTTAGTCTTTCGTACAGTATGGGGGCGAGATGGGTAGTAGATTCGAGAAAATCATGAATGTGGGATGATGTAGTACGATGCTGTGCGACCACTGTATCTGAGGAAAGAGATGCCGTCCTCCGGGTTTGACTTCCGAAGTACAAGAGTAAACACTAATGGGTGAAGAGTCCACTATTCTGTGGCCCCTTCCGCCTACCGTGAGCTACACAGATCACAAATGGCCGCACGACACGGGCTCACTGGCAATCTGTGTGCGAATCTTTTGGAATGAAGCAGGCTTTCGTCGCGTCTACTTCGCCATCTCTCTCTCTCTCTCTCTCTCACTACGTCCACCGTGCTCCGGTTTCCAAATAAGGGTAGGTCGGCTAGGCATGGGTGACGGATGACAAAAGTGAACAGCCCGTCTGCGCGTGCCACACACAACCCTGAAAGTGTGAGGCTCACGGATAGAACCCAAGTGAGAATGACATAACAGCTATCCCGCCAGTGGGCTGGCTCCCAAACCACGACTGCTAATGTGTCGTGATAGGTTGAAGGCACATTTGGCTACTTATAGTGAGTCGGCGGTGACTGGGCGCAGTGGCTGACCTGGCATTAACCCGACTGTGCCACGTGCAAACTCCTAGATGCGACGCATCAACGTTATTACAGATGTTGCTGACGCCTTAGCGACTGTCCCCGTTGAAACCATCGTATCCTTGGTTGTTGACTCCTCCACAAATCTCACAGTAAAGCTTCTTCCGACTTTGATTTTAGCATATAAAGCTGAATTGAACTGTATATCACGATTACTTCGAAAGAAAACAGGATACACACTTCTTTCTTGACCGGTAAAGTGGATTACACGGAGACTTCTACCCTTATCCCCATGGGCGCCCCCTAAGGAATACAGTTCGCAAATCACTGGCCAGCGTGCAAAAATGATGATGGCTGGCGGAGGCATTCGTGCTGTGGCCAAAGGGGCTAGAAAACTAGCGAGTCATGATAGTTCGCAGTCAGCCAAATGCCAAATTATCCATCTGCGTCAAACGCCTGCAGTCCAGCCGCATTAAATGAACTCGGGCCTCCTCAGCAAATTTTTGTCGGTTAACCAAACTCCGTAAATGGGTTAAATTAGGGATTAGGGCTAAATTCGCCTGTGCATACCGACATACCCCATCCGGTCTTCTTTAGAATAGAATAGAATAGGTTTATTGTAGCGCCCCTTGGGCACTGTCAGTCCTGTTCCCCGCCAAGTTGTTAGCTCTAATTCGCATCCTTCAAATTTTGCGGTCTGTTCCGGCCTCTCGCTGAAGTAATAAAACAAGTATACGGCGGCAATGCGGGTCTGCTCAATGCCTTTCGCAGACTCCGTTAATTGCAGCGTCCATCTGCCCTACTGGCAAAACTAACATTAACATCCTTCTCTAATTACCGGAGTCCGCGAGAACTATTACCTCAGTGGGCTTACATATCTAATCCTGGCCGGTTTCAGGATTATCACAAGTCCCCAGTAATTTCATGGACTACTTTTTAGTACAAGGTCTCAAATCGGCGGTACTTTACTGCCACAACTTGCTGTACCTGAATTGTTCATAGTTAACCACTAACAGGAATAATAAGTCTTACTCAGGATTTGCACAAATTTCATCTACTGCCTCCAAATTCATCAACATTTATCGCAACTTCTACGGAATTTTGGACAAATCGACCACTTCTGTGGCGATCTGTTGTCCAAAATTGAGCAGTTGGCACGAAACAATGTCACTGTTCCAAAAACATTACGCATATTGAGATGGCACTTCAGTAATATCGTTGCACGTATTGGGTGATAACACCAAGAACCGAACAAAAGACGGCCATTTCATACTAAACAGCTGAATGACTGATCGCAAATGTTCACAACTGGCAACTTCTCATAAGTGTTGGTTCAAGGTTCAGGCGAACTACAACATCTGGGCTTTACCGAACCGCATAAACAGAAAGTCTCGAGGTATGCTGTCAAGGTTCGTCAGAGGGGCCGCAGTTTGAAGTCAAAATCTGCAGATGACGAGAAGCACTTACTTGTCTGAGAGAGTGTTGTAGGCCCACCAGACTGCCGAGCCATTGTCATCAATCAAGACGAGAATCTGGTCATGGATCCCGGCAGCTGCATAGGACCAGCTCCGGAAAGCCCCAGTCGCGCCGTGCTTACTCTGCTTTGATGCGACATCGAATATGTCCACCGAGAGCTGCTGTGATGTACCAATCATTGCGTATATGCGATCTACGGAAGGTGGGCAAGAAAAATAAAGCATGAATTGGCAGACGCCACACCAGAAGATGTAATCACTGGAACATGAAGTTTATTGGCCTGATGTTTCGAATTCTCACTCGAATCCATCATCAGAGGCAGTCGCAGATAAAGGTAGTGGAGGCACAGAGTGCAGTATCTATAGTACGAAGATGCCGTGGGGCCACATGCGCACAAAAATTAACAGCCCTCGCGATCACCGATGGCGGTCGTAAGTGAGACGGTGATGGCTCGTCAGTCCGCGGAGATCGGGGGATCGAGCCGCAGGTGTTCCACACTTCGGGGTGGGGTATGAGTGACTGACGACGGCAAATAAGCCGGATATGGCCATTCCAGTCACCCTTGTTATTGTCGGTATTTATATTTCGCACACATATATATATATATATATGCTGGAAAACGGGCATCCCAAGAAATGAATTGAAAATAAGTAAGATTCTTTGGGAAGGGAATCAACTTTAATGAGTAAATTTTCGAGTCTGGTTCCCCAGCTCGTCGTCAGACTTTTGGGCTATGTACAAAAACAGTTAACTATTTAACCGTGTCGAACAAGTGATTCTATGGTTGGCCGAAGCCTGCGCCAATGCGCGTCAACGATTTTTGTCATCCCCTCGGCATTGACTGCGCTGGGATCCCCGATTTCCGGCTACCTGTCTGAGGCGGCCTTTCAGGAACTGGAAGCTCGAGTCTTTCAGTCCTACAAGCCGAAGTTCTGGATGCGCCACATAGATGACACCTTCTTCATCCTACGCCGAGACGCGAAAGACAACTTTAAATGGAAATTGAACTCGGTTTTCTCACAAATTCAATTTGCCATGAAGGAAGAGAAAGATGGAGTAATCCCCTTCCTCGACGTTCCGGTAACGAGGCAGGAAGACGGAACCCTCCAAACTGTTGTCTTTCGGAAAGCGACAAACACGGAGAAAATTCTTTAATACAACAGCAACTATCCCCTGTCGCATAAACGCAGCTGCGTCCGGACGCTCCTTCGCCGCACTAACACACACTGCAGCACAGAAGCCGAGAAACTGCGGGAGCGTAAAACCCTATGGCACCTCTTCCTTGCCAACGAATATCCGCACAGTTTTGCAAACAAGTGCTTGTGCCAAAGACATAAGACGGCCGACGGTAAGAATACACAACGAGCTGAAATCTTCCGCGTTTCGCCTTACGTGAGAAATGTCTCCGAAGCTACTGAGCGCATGCTATGATCACGAAGCATGGGCGTTGGACACCGGCCGGAGGCCACCATCTGCCGCTTACTCATGCAACCCAAGGGCCGGCTCCCACCTGCAGACACGTCAGGCGTCATTTACGGCGTCAAGTATCTAGAATGTCTGGCAAACTACTGCGGCATGACCGACAAACGACTGCAAACGCGCATGCATGCATGAGCACGCCTTAGCCGTAAAGCAAAAGGATGTACGATCGCACGTGTTCAACTTTGACGGTGCCCAACTGCTCGGACGAGTCGAAAGCAAACTGGCGTGAGAAGTAATCGAAGCCTAACAAACAGACGCCTACTTGATCAACCGCAGTATTGACCTACCAGCGCCATACGAGGCCATCAGGCACCACTTGTGCGTGAGAGGGCCAATAAGAGAAGAGCGGAATCGACCTATCAGGTGCGAGCGCGAATTACCTATTTAAACCATAGGCGACTTCAAGAATTCTGAAACCTTTTGGAATCGATGTGGCCCATAAGCCAGCATCAACAATCCGACAGCAGATAGGGAGGCCCAAAGACCCGCTGCCGGTGACAGAACAATCAGCGGTGGTCTACAGCATACCATGCCACCATTGTGATGGAAGGTATGTTGGTGAAACTGGGAAACGCCTCGGCACAAGATTACACGAGCACCACCTTGCAATTAACCGCAAAGGTAAATTGTCGTTGGTGTATGGACACACACTGGAACGGAACCACAGTTTCGTCTTCGAGAAAGCGAGGGTGGTCGGCCGAGCCAATGACACTGGGGCAAGACTGATGCTGGAAAGTTGGTCCTCGACTGGCACCCTCAACCGGGCCATAGACCTACATCCCGCCTACCAGGCGCTTCGCGCGAGGCTCGAGTCAGTCCAGGAAGGGCCAATGGCACGGATGAAAAGTCACACGGGATCGACTGGCGGAGAGAGAAGGCGCTGACCGAAAGTCGCGTGGCCGGTGTGGTACACTGTCTCACGGACGTACCCGCGAGTTTGGAAACACCATTGGCATATTTGCCGACCTTAGACAGACACACCGGCGAGTCCTCGCGTAAGTTAACCCACCAATAGAGGCGGGTGTCGGGGATGTGGCAGCTGTGGAGCCACAGGCTACAGCTATCTGTCAAGTGTAGTCAGAGTAGAATGACGAGGTGGAAATGGGCAAGTAAGACTGGAGAGGGGGTTAGTGAGGGGTGGGTGGGTACTTACTGTTTAAGATAACATATCTCAAACATCCACGGAATGGATTTCCATGAATAGACATGTTGCAGAATTCCTGCCAAGCGTTCTCAATGGGATTGAAGATTTCCACCAACGCACTTTCAGGTTCTAAGTCCTCGTCACATTTCATGGTGAAGAGCACATCCGTGGAGAGTTCGCGGTAAACCCGGTCGGACTGGGCTCCCCGTGAAATGACCTCCTGTTCTTTCAGCATCGACGTCATACGCAGGAGTTTGGTTCCCAGAGAGAGATCCCTGTGTAAATTTGACAGGTCTGGGTATGAGCTTTAGGCATGCATGAAGCTGAACACATATCATGTCAAGCAGGACTACATGATGGCGACAACAAAGAGCCTAACACGAATCTAAATTAATGACAATTTCGTTTGTGCGTACTTCCCTGCTACACCACGTCTAGGGAGTGCCTGACAAATGCCCAGAAAGAGCGGTGGCAGCCCTGAAAGTGAACTTATTATTGTCAGCATGTGGTTGATCTCAATGCTGCTCCTCTCATGTCCATCACAGCCTTCTTTTCTTCGTCGTCGTGCAGACAAATATGTGAAACACGATAAAGGGGGGGGGGGGGATTCTACGTGCCGGTGGTAGAGCTAGCGTCAGAAACCCTCACTCCCTTCCCCCAGTGTGGGCGTTGGAACTGAATCAGGCTAGAATGCCAGCTCCTCGGAAGTCGAAGGTGTGGCCAGCCTCTACAGTGGGCATTGCCAGCCCGCAGTATGGGTCCAGTATTCGCGTTGCGGAGGCTGGTCTGCAGTTTTCATCCAGTTTCCACGGCGTAGTTACAGTCATCCTCCTTGCGGTAGACTTTGCAGACGACTGTCTGAGCTTAATTCTGGTAACGGGTATTTTGGTTGCACTACATGGCGACGAATCCTGGTTCGAGATCTGTGAGCTACACCTATTCAAGGGATTCCAGCAATCGGGAGACCGTTTCGTATCGAGTACGAACATCTACATTTCTACATGCTGTTATTTTGGCGGTCCGGTACTTGCGAAGGAGACAGGGTTGTAAGAAGCAAACCCTTATTAGCCTGAAGTTTCGGATTCTCACTCGAATTCATCATCAAAGACAGGACCAGACAGGGATCGGGGGTGAACAGGTGTTTCGGAACACATCATATATAGTTGTTATCCCATCATGTGTCTGTTAAACTTGACCACTTTTAAATGTAAGTCGAGGCTCATTCAACGGGATACTCAAGTTCGATGAGGCTGGAATTGTTGCGAGAGGCTAGAACATCTTAGAGGCGTGTAAAGGCGCCGTCTGTGATTAGAGGGATGTGCGGGTTGCTTAACTTTTTTTCTAGAATCAACGCATTCTAAATTTGCAAAGACCGATTCTAACGGGACACCGTTTCCCAAAAAGGCTCATCTGAAAAAATTACAAACGGAATCGTAACATCTGCGACAAACGGCCGGAAGCAGGCTACACCTTTGGAGCGATAGTAAGCAACACACGACCTACTTAAACAAGTACAGTAGTACGAAAAATACAAAACGAGGTTGGAATAAAAACCTACGTGCAATCAAAATGGGCCCTGCAGAGCGGGTGAGACAGTATCTGTTCCGCAAAGTCCTTCGAAAGTTTGCCAAGACGAAGTCGAGAAAATAGTCTTGGAAATGCTTCGGCTCGCCCAATATTGACAACCTCCTGCACTGAAGAGGGCCGCTGAGCTCTCTCATTGTACACCCAGCTGACAATGGCCTGAAAGATATCATCCTCATTGGTGACAGAGAGATCGTCCCGAACTAGGAAACCCTCCAACTCGGCCGCCGTAAGAGCCAGAAAGGCTGGAGTACCAATAAACTCCTGAAAATTGGCACACACGTACGACTGCAACATTTCCTGCAGCTCGAAGAGATCGTTTGCATGCGCGAATGACCAGTACTGTTGCACGATATCAAAGTCCAATCTACAAAGGTTAAAATCGACAAGGCGTTTGTACTGAATAAACAAAAGTAGGCACTTTTACAAAGTTCACAAGGCGCAATGAACATGATTGAGTCACAAGGCCTGACATGGGCAGCTAGTTACTTTGATGAGCCCATCCGTCCGGCAAAAATGGGCTAGGAATTACCTTCGCTGGACATCATTTTTGGAACACTACCTTCTGTGTCGTGTTCCTACTCTTTTTAAGTTATACGCGACAGAGAGTACATTTTTAGGGTACGGTGAATCCATATTAACAGTAGAAGTAGTAGTCAAAAGCCCATACACGCTTGTTTCGCCGATATTCTGCCACTGCATGACACAGCTGCGAGGAGTTCGGCTCGTCAGAGGGTCCACCAGCATTCCCCGTCTGATTTCTGGAAGATACTCCAATTTAGGAATTGGTGCTCTTTAATTTCCGTAGAAATTAACTGTGAAACATGGAGTGGATCAGGATATTTAAGGTCTATAGGCTCAGACCAAAGTTGTTATGTAAATCCCACTACCATTCAAACCTACGTCTACGACTTGCCAACAAAACAAAGTGCCGCCCAACGCTGACCTACTTCTGGTGACAAAAAAAGTCAACGAAGACCCGCACCTACCGTTGGCGTAGGAAGTCGAGGCATGCAACTTCCAGCTTCTCCACTTGAAATAGTTTCGCCGCCAGAATAATGTCCCTCAGGTTGCTTTCCTCCTCCTGCATCGCCGACGTAGGGTCAAACACGCCCGAGTAAGCAAATTGCAGAACTGCCTGCACGGCCCTAGAGGAACAGCGTTTGATACGATGAAAAAAATTTAAATACCTCGGCGTGAGACGGTTGAGGACTGTGTAGTCGAGAACATTTGACTGATCTGGATTCAGGAAAAGATCCGCAAAGAAGGGAATGGAGGCCGCAAGGATAATTTTGTGTGCACAAAATACAGAGTCTCCGATCTGGATTGAAGGGGGGTAGGGGTGAATTGACATAACATGAACAGGGCTTACCACGAAAGTGAAATCACACAGTTTCTCCGAACCACGAAAGTGATCAAACTTAGCAAACCTTTGGAACAAAAAACCTCAGTTAGAAAGAGTGACGAACAATGTGCTCTTCCAAAATGTTAAGGTAGAATTCATTCATTTGACATGGGAAAAGTGCCTTAGCTAAGATATTTAAGAAGTTAACGCTGCGTTTTTCGTGTACTTGGGACGACCAGCATTAATGCTCGTCTTGAGCGTAATGGATTGGTGACATCCATCCCATTCGTCTGCAGCAGTCGGTGTCCAGTTGGCGTTGCATGCCCGATTACCGAAAACAGTTGGGTCTAGCGAACTCCGCATTTGCCCACTTTTAGTCGGCCAACACCGTCATCAGGACGGTCGGCGTTAAGCTGGATGGGGATTCACAGATGCAGCGTTGTAGGCGACTTCGTCTGCAGGTCAACAGAGCGCGCGAACAAATCACTCGGAGTGGTGGTTTTCTACTGCAGCACCGGCAGAAGGCGCCCCGACTGCCAATGAATTTTTATGCTCGAGACGTAGTCTGTGAACCGAAGTAGTACTATGCTCTGGACATACTGGTTGCCGAAAATCGTCCTATGTCATTCGAGGTGAGGCGTGCAACTTTATGCGGTTTGGAGCCACTGAAGAACAATCTTGTTTTCCAAGCATTAAGTTTTAAGACAACTATAGGGGATGCGAAGATTATTTCATCAAGGGTAGCTTATGTTCCCTAGGATGAGATGCCAAGCAAAACAATGACCTCGGTAGAGAACGCTTTGCTTCACCCAGACATCCGCGTAGTCGTTAAGAGGGCGGAACAATGTCGCGGCACATTTAGACGCCATCGTTGTTGGAGAAATATCTTCTTTCTCACTGTAATTTCAATTTTCCCACCCTGAAGAAAGGACGCAGGACAGTACGGCTTCAGTGCTGTAGAGCAGATTTCGATCACCACAGGCACTGAAATATCTCAAATTGCTAAAAATAACATCAGAAAAACTCTTGTAGACTCTAACTGCTAGTTCACGTTCATCCGCGCTGTTTCTGTCTCGATGATGCTGCGTTGTTGTCCGTGGCCTAGCAGAAAACGGCAGCACGCTGCAAAGGCGAACAGAATCGCATGGAAAAACGCACTTGCCTGCGCGGCAATCCTCTTATTCAATGGCTTACTGGGGGAGCATACCTTACCCGCATGGTTTTACTGAAGGCCGAACTGCCATTCAGGAAATAAAACTGTTGGTATGGCTTTCTTGTGTGGAGGTCCACTTCAATTTCGACGCCAAGTTCTACTAGTTTCGTTTGCAATCGCCTTCCCCTTGATCGTGTCGCCTGGCTGCCCAGTGCTCCAACGTTTACGCCCCTGGTTACTCGGGCGCATAAAACATCGTTTACGATTCTGACGGCTTCGACACGCACATGTCTCCGTCTGGATACGCATGCGGAGCCACGGCTGAGCGTCACTACTTTACTGTAGGGCAAGCTAATTTACGATATTCTGCTGATGGCGGCTTAAACTTCCGCCCGATGGGAGTGGGTAAACACCCTGCCTGTGCGACAAACTGGTTTCCGGGAATACCTTGAGGTGCAGACGGGGTCACGCTCCCCAAACTCTGTGGCATGAACAATACCGGTTGATCATCCCGACTCTGTGACGGCGAAGTAGGGCCGCAGCCAAACAGGTCCATCCTAACTCAGTAACGAGCTCCGAACAGTCGCTAAGGCCTGGAGGCTAAAATCATCAAAGAAACCGCCAAAATATTTGCATAGAGGACGACCGATGATAAAAGAGGTGTCTAGACGTGAAAGTAAAAAGGCTTACCGTTGCTGAAGCAAAGCATCCACGTGAACATCATCAACCGTTGGCGGTAGGAAGTCCTCGGTTGCCGCGGAACATGACTGCGGCCTAAGGCCGGAGTAGGCAAAGGTAAGAAGGGCCTCGACAGTCTCACTAAACCGAATGTAAGGCGGAATATCAGTGTTTGTACCTCGAAGGCGGTAGGCTTGCGGTGTCCTTCTCGTCGTAGCCACCATCATGCAACAGTTTATCAAAGTAAGGGATTGATGCAGCCAGAATAACCCTGTGTGCAAAGTGTGTTCTTCCACCTACCTAGAGCACAGCATATAAACAACAAGACTGTTGCGGAATTACCTTCAACGCGAAGTCACACAATTCCCTACGATTGCGAATCTCAGTGAACTGAGAAAAGCCGTGTCGGACGAAGGTGACAGTTTCGGCCATGTTCTGGTCCTGGCGTCAGAGGAACTAGTCTGCATTTTAAGAGAGGAAGAATAACCCAGAGATATTCCTTTTTAAGGTGATGTACAACACGTCGAGAATGCTGAGTGCGAGAATCAGCCCCAGAATTGTTCATGAGACCAATCGTCACATAAAGCACACCCCTCAGGCTGATGGTGGAAGTTGCCTCCGGACGCTTATTAACCCGAAACACAGTTTATCGCCTGGTTTACTCCGAGAGTGCTCTAATGGTCGGCGTTATGTCGCATCCGGAAGTAGCCCACGAGTCCCCGCCTAGTTCTGAGTGGCCGCCGACAGTGAGGGCGGAATAAGACATGTTGGATTTTGTGGCAGGCGTCATATGCTAGGTTTTGTTGGCTACATTGAAGTGGACGTGAAACCGTCCAACCAGAACCATCGAAACGCTGGACGTGGGGTCTTAATTTAAGTACGTAGAGAACATTTACTTGACTTTCAAGGTGTTCCCCTCCATCGGATCAGCATTGCTGTTTAACGTGTTTTTAGGGTAAGGGCGAACGTATCCAATAATGCAGGTTGAGGTCTTCATTGGCCGTGAATACGTGCCTGAAAAGAAAGGCGTAGGCCCGAATTGGCTGTAATTTCGGTCTACCTGCATTCTCAGCCTCATCGTTTTGGGTGCGTGGTTGCTGCTCGCGACCTACACTGTCAGTAAAAAGACCTAGTTTATTCAAGAATACTAACCCTGCGCGAATAACCACCCAACCTACCTCGATAAAAGCCATCAGGTTGGGAAGGCCTGAAAAGGACTGTCGACTCTGAGCTGTTGTTAGCTAAGTGCACTGTGGGTGTGTGCGTCGGTTTTCACCGAGCCGTTGGTCTTAGGTTAAGGTATAGTTAGCTGACGGGGACCTCAACGCGACTAAAGTAGCTCTTGTTTCGGCCTCTAGTGTGACTGAAAATCTACTTCTTAAAAGGGGAAATCTAAATTGAAAAAAATAAAAACAACTAAGGGGGTCAGGAAGAAATAAAATTCAGCAGAAATCCCAGTGTGCGCTGGGGCTGGTAACATAGACCAAGCACAGAGAGCGTTTTCAAACCCTGTTGATTTAGGAAGACCTATAGCGCATATTGTAGAAACCAGTCCACATGGTCCATCTCAGTAGTTCCAAATAGCTGCAGAGTTAAGTAAATGCAAACCTTTTTCAGGGAAGTCCAACAAGAAGGACCGGAGTAATTTAGGGAATTAAAGTGTATAATCAGGCTTCTGAGAGAGTTCTATCGTGTCCTAATTAAATAACCGCTGCCTTTCGTTTGAGTAGCATTTGCTTATGGCGGTCCTTCATCTGATTTAGAAGCAGAACCTACTACGCCCCTCTATGAAGACGACATTCGACGAGTAACTGCAGATACTTTGATTATTCGCCGGGGCCACAGGAAAAGGAGATAGAGGAGAGAAAATCAACGCAGAACGAGAGTGTAACTGTGGGACGAGTGACGAGTAAGCACCTTATAAATGCCAAAAGTCGACAAACACACATTGCAATTTGTTGGTTACCTGACTGATTGACACAATTCGGTACGCAGTTCGCTTTTAGGGCATTCACGGGGATGGAGGCCATGGGTGTTCAACAGCCTACTGCACTCGGTAAATCCATTTATCGCACAACAGGTCGCCTGCGCCGCTTGCCAACAAATTTGGCCTCGTCAGACACGCTGTGCCAAATCGAGGTACTACGTGCCTGTACGCATCTATGGCCTGCCACATCGCCGACTGCTGGATGCGAAGAGGGGGGGAGGGTGGAATGTCGTCAAAGTATGCCAGATGAACACTGTCCACGTAATCAATGCATGCATGTTAGCGTCATCGAGACCTTAGACAAACTGACTATTCTCGTACGAACGAACCGATTGTGCCCGCCAAACAAAGATATGGAACAAAGACAGAATTAGCAGAGTACCAGGCTAGCGCAGGAGTGTGCTGACGGTATCTAGATATATCTAGATACCGTATAGGAGCTCCTATGGGGGAGATAAAAACTACGGAAACGTGAGCAAGGGCGTTGCTGAGAACCTGCGGCGAGGACAACATCAAGGTCGAAAGGCATGTGGTGGATAAAAAGGCTAATAAAGCGGGCCGACACAAGCCATGATTGCGCAATAACAGAAGATAAGCGGAAGTGCATCGCTTGACTTTTCCGCCCTAATTCCAGCCTAATAAAATCCGAGGGGAGTTTTGATACTTTGTTTACTTCATTATCTTCTCGATATTTATTCGCCTACCTTTTGTTTTACCTTCCCCTCACTGTCTGCAAACACTTTATGCTTCCCCTAACTTTGTTAGCCCATGTCTCTGTGGCGAAAACATCGACTGGAATTTAAATAGATGATCCAGTTCGCTGCCGTCCCCGAATAACAACTAACGAGAGACGTTCTACTTCGTTGTCGTTTATGCATAGTGATCTACACAAGGAACATACCCAAGCTATCTGTGTCGAAAAACTTCTGTGCGGTCATCCCTTAAAATTACGCACAGGTAAACAGGGAAAGTGGAAACGGTTTTCCTAATTAACAAAGTGGCTGCAGCGAGGAACGCCCTTTCCATGGATGTTGTTGCTTCCTCTTATGTGTATCCATTTAAATGCAAACTAGGCACGCATCGAGTTTCCGACTCACCAGCCATACACCCGAATAACCGGTCACCGAACATGCAATAAACGAATATACGTTCTCGTTAACTCTTTCTCAACCATCAGACGGCTGCTTCATTTCCGCATGCAGTCGAGTGACGAATTCCTCTTCCAATTTGGCTTTCTTATTGATGCTTTTTCTTCCGACACTTTTTAAGCAAAACTGGGTTTAAAGTCATTCACCTATCTTTCCCATAGTAGAACTCTACTGAACTGAATTTGTGCTGAAAACATAAGCGAACGACCGCTCGGACCGGGTTATGATTCCATCCTTAGGATGAGGACATGTGTTACCAAAGCATTTACCTGAAAATGTCATTCAAAAAGGTAGAAACTGCGCTGCTGCAATTCAACGTTTTGATTCTACCTACCGATGATGTGGTTGGTCTTCACTACACATTGTCCTTTGTGCTGATCAAGGGTGCCTGATGCCACTTCCCACTTTTGGAAGACATTCTGTACATCGATGAGACCGCTGGAAAGATGACAACAGTGTTCGTTTCTTGGTTTATATAGCAGTCCGCACGTTCTTAAAGTGGTTCTGCATCGTGATTATCAATACTTCCATTTTCGCTGAATTTAATTTTAAAGAATACGAAGGTACAACCAAGTATCTGAGAATAGCACGTTTGACTTCACAATAATTTATATTCCGTTTCATAACGGGTTAATCTGTAGGTTACTTCGGGGACTCGCTCGATTAAATTCAAGGGTTTTTATTACTATTTTTCATTCTCTCAACCCAGGCCGTGATACTGACACTGATCTAGGTAAAATCAAACAACATAAATTATCAGGTTAATTTAGATCAGAATAGTTCAGTATATTTTAAGGGTAATAGGCAAGGCCTTTGAAAACCCTATTACAAACCGTAATTGCAATATGTAACTTGAAATAAAGACGGTACTATAATGTTGTCAGTAATATATACACTTAGCAGCATATTTTCCCTGCAAATGCAGGACCGAAATTCAAACACATGCAGTTGTAGATGATATCGGTAAAATGCAATGACAGTCATCGGCATTAGCGGTAGGTGTCTGCAAGGCATTGGTTTGGCACCACAGAGCTGTTCTGTCCAGACGAGCGGTATTGTCCAAGCAAATATGCATCTAGTCTTTTCTTGAACGTCTCCGTGGTATCCGCCATTATTACGTCCTCGGGAAGCCCGTTCCAGACACCGACGACTCGCTGTGAAAAACAAAATCTTCGAATGTCCAGACGGCATCGGGATCTTCTAAGTTTTAGGGAATTCCCACGCAGATTTGTTGTTGTGGCCAGGGTGAAGAAATCGTCGAGGTGTAGGACACAGTCCCGGTTCCTCAATATCCGATAGGCCTGTATGAGATCACCTCGTACCTGCCTGTACTCAAGAGGAAAGAGTTTAAGTTCACTAAGTCGGCAGTTGTAAAGTAAAGTCCTGAGGCCTTACACAACTTTTGTCGCTCTGCTCTGAACTCTTTCTAATAACTTATAGTCTTTTTTTAGCCACGGGCGCCACGCCAGAATTCTATATTCCAGGTGCGAACGAATGAACGTTCCGTATGCTTTTCCAAATAACCGTTTGTCTACGTCTACGAAATTTCGTTTGATGGCAAAGAGAACACTGGTTGCCTTTTCGGCCGCCCTAACGCACTGAGAGGAAGGCTTAAGTCTCGACAAAATGTTGATCACAAGATCTTTTTGTTGGGTAACATTTGAAAGGCTCCTTCCAACAACCAGGTAATTGTGATCCTCTCCGTCGGCTCTTCCAGTTGTTTTGAGTCGCAGCGCAACGCACTTCTCATGGTTAAACTTCAACTGCCATTTATCAGATCATTCGCATAGGCGCTTCAGTCCTTCTTGCAAGGGCCCGTTCATCATTTTTCCCGTTGATCGTTCGCCATAACTTGATGTCATCAGCGAACATGACTCCATTGCAGTCCAGTCCATCCATACAGTCGTTGACATAAATTAAAAATAGTACTGATCCGAGTACAGGGCCCTGTGGAACTCCACTCACAACTGGCACTGGCGTTGACTTCGCACTACCAATACACACAGATTGTGATCGACCAGTCATAAAGTCCTTTACCTGGTTTAATAGGTTTCCCCTTATCCCTGACTCTCGGACCTTGTAAAGTAACCGGTGATGTGGAACACGATCAAAGGCTTTCTTGAAATCGATGTAAACGATATCGACCTTTGTTCCTGCGTCTAACGAGCGAGACCACTGTTCCGTTGAATAAAGCATATTAGTTAGGCAGGAGTGATTTCGTCGAAAGCCATGTTGAGGACTAGCAATGAATTTATTTTCTTCAAGGAACTTCGTTATGGATTTTTTGACTATTCTCTCCATGACTTTGCAACAAATGCACGTTAGGCTCACCGGCCGATAATTGTTTGTACTTGTTCTGGATCTATCCTTGTGAATGGGGTATATGTTCGCCACTTTCCAATCAGAGGCAAGAATGCCTCGGTCAAAGGACGACCTGAAAATGTGCAAAAGCGGTCTGGTGAGTTCGTAAGCCAACTCCTTCAGAACTTTTGGCGGAATTTGGTCTGGACCCGGAGACTTACCCTCCTTAAGCGCTAGAAGTTCCTTCCTCACCTCTTCTTCCGCGAAGTCGATGTTTTCTATTATTTCGTTGGTTGTCCCAGCAGACAATCCAGCCTCGTCAAAGTCAGTTTCATCGGTGAAAACCGATACGAAAAACCGGCTTAGATGTTCTGCTTTAGCATCATTTTCGCTGATATCCTCATAGTTTTCTCCTTTCAACACTGCGACCGTCTCCTTGTTCTTTAACCTACTGTTTATGTAGCTGAAGAGCACTTTTGGCTTATCGACGGCCCGTTCCATAACTCGCGTTTCATACTCCTTCCGTGATCTGCGGATAGCCGATCTTACCTCGTTTCGCTTTCGACGAAACTGCTCGTAATCAGATAGTTTTCTTGTTATTGCATACCTTCGCCATAGCTTGTTCTTCCGGTTTACTTCTTTCTTTATATCCCGCGTTATCCACGCAGGACGATTATTCTTTTTGACTCCCTTCGTCGGACAGTTCCGATGCATGATGTCTATTACAACTCCTTTGAGAGTGTTGCAATCAACGTCCGGATGTCCGAAAAAAACATTATTCCAGTCTACTGCCGATAATTCCCTTCTCATGGCGGCAAAATCGTCTCGCCAGAAATTAATCCGAGACCCAGTCGTATTCACTTGTTGGCTGCATAGGCAGTATTCCCAAAACAACATCGAACTGTATCCGATGCTAACGTCCAAAGAGCCTATCAGCAGCATCTTCCCGAACGTAAAATCTACGGTGGAGGATGAACAAACAACTAGCTGTCCTTCTTTGATGCCCATATCTAGCGTAATTTTTGTGGCAGAATAATGACCAAACTGTCCTGGGAAACGACAAGTACGACGCAAATATTGAATGTTAACAGCAACCAACCAATCAGCCATAAAGGCGGTTGCGTAAGGGGTGCAGTGCCAGCTTGTTGAGACGCAATTCAGTGGGGCGGAAGACAATGTTGCCGAATTTCAGTATCTTCGACGGATGTACAGTGAAAATGGCTACCCACACAAATTCACCAACAGATGCATGCGCAAACTAGACGAGTGAAAAAATCGCACCGATCCCAAATTTTAGCGAGCAGTTTCGTTTATCAACAACATCTTGGTGATCGTCAGCGTTTGCTCCAGAAGCTGGCAATGCTAGCTGTGAAATGCAGATCTCTTAAGTGTGTAGAAAGTGCTGGTCTCAGCGGGTGCCACATGGTCCACACAGCGGAAATTGGGTGGCATTCCACAAGACTGACTGCCGGAGTCGACCCACGTCCTCACTTTCATTAATAACTCTGTAAAAGAACTAACGGTAAAATGCTATATCTGCAGGTGACAGGGGGATTTAAAATAACAACCACGGAACGTCTGTTGAAACAATCATAAAGAATATTTTCAATTGGCAGGGAGGAAGTGCTGGTCGATGTCTTAAGTCAGATTAGTTCACTTTATTTAGGAAATGAGGCTTTTGTCCTTGAGCTCCCTAGAATCAATAGTTAGAACCAATTATTACATCAGTACTACTGTCAAATCAAAATTTATCAGTATCTGTGAGTCAGGTGCAGACTGCCGCCACTGACACAATCATGAATATATGTGCAGTAGTTTCTCAGAAAACGAACATCCAGTCTGCATTTAAAAGACTCAACAGTTTCAGGAAGAACCACCGCTCCAGGAAGTCCGTTATTGGCCAAACAACTATTAACAGGGAATTTGACGGTCATTTTAAAACTCGTAGTTGTCGACCTGATACGAACTTTTTCAAAAGACTATCGTCTCTAACCAGCATTGTTTGCATGTTGCCCATCGTCACCAGTCACAATTAACCACCTGAATCCTGTTGCGGTGTTGTTGATGTTGATCAAAAAATTGATCATATTGCTGTGTGGACCAGTTGGGTGTGGGGTGGAACGCCGAGGTGCGGCATCGACCACGCAATCAACCTGCGCACTAAATTGCCTCCGGAATTCTTGACTCTGCATTGACACTGGATCCAGATGGGGAGTGAGGAGGGATAGGTGAGGTGAACGCTGCGCAAGGCCATTCTCATTATAAACTAATTCACGACCAAGCCATCGTGCCTGCTGCAAATTGGTGTATAGCACACGGCGGAAGTCGTCGGAATCGACGGTCGAAATTTCCTTTGTGTGTGTGCGTGTGTACATATCTGTGTGTGTCCACAAAACAAGCCACGTGTTAGATGCGCTGGATCAACACGAGGGACACATCGGACTCTGGCAGGCGTTATCTTTGCGTAATAACAAATGCCAACATTCGCGGGGTGCGGTGGCGGACCCTGATGTCGGCATTCGTCGCACAACTGGACCACTGCCTCCACCCCAATGTATTATGGTCAAAATCCTGGTCATTGGTGTGTGCACCAGGGGGTGCGGAGTGGAGCGCCAAGGCGAGGATCCGCCCGAACCATCCATCTGCGGCCACCCGCGTCACCGGTAATCTTGACCCTGTCTTGACACCGGGCCCAGGCGGGGGAGGAGAGAGTGTAGGTAGATGCAACGCAAGACTACTCGCACTATAAACCCCTGCGCAAGTCACCGTCCCTGCTCACACAATGCAGTCTGTGGGGCACACGGAGGACATCGACGAAATCGACGGTAGAACTGTCGTAAAACTGTGTGTAACAGTTAGAACCAGGGCAATAATTCTCCCCTCAGCACCGACGGCAGTACCCTACAGATCGAGAAGAAGAAAGAACTACATCGATGGGCCGAGAATTTCCGAGGCGTCCCCAACAGGTCCTTCACCATCCCCGCCACCGCCATCGCCCGTTTGCCTCAAGGACGCCGCGGCTCCAACGACAATGGTCTGCTGCTCCTCCGCACCTGCGCAGAACACCGCCTCATCCTGACGAACACGTTCTTCTGTCTGCCGGAGCGAGAGAAGGCCACCTGGAGGCATCCTCGGTCGAGCCAGTGGCACCTGCTGGACTATGTCCTCGTCCGGAGGCGAGATCAGCGGGACGTGCTGGTGACGAAGGCGATCACGGGTGCTGACGGGTGGACCGGCCATCGCCTCGTCATCTCGAAGATGCGTATACGTCTACAGCCTCGCAGGAGACCACAAGGTAAGCGACCCCCAGGTAAGCTGAATGTTGCTTTGTTGTCTTTGCCCGCTCATCATCTTCATTTCAGCAACGAGCTAGCTCAACGGCCAGACAACCTCCCCATCGCCGATGCCGCCGCTGCCGAGAACGCCTCCCTGGAGAACCGCTGGTGTCAACTGAGAGACACGGTCCAGTCGACGGCGCTCGCCGTCCTCGGTTGTGCTCCCCGCCAACACCAAGACTGGCTCGACGACAACGACACCGCCATCAGAAATCTGCTTGCTGAGAAGAACCGCCTACAAAAAGCCTACGTAGATCACCCCACTGAGGACAACAAAGCTGCCTTCTACCGCAGTCGCCGACAACTTCAGCAACGACTGCGCGAGATGCAGGACTCCTGGACTGCTCGCAAAGCTGAGGAGATCCAAGGCCACGCGGACCGCAACGAATGGAAGAACTTCTTTTCCGCGATCAAAGCTGTCTACGGTCCGTCGAAGAAGGTCACTGCTCCTATCCTCAGCGCCGATGGCAGCACTCTTCTGACTGAGAAGACGCAAATCCTATAGCGATGGGCCGAGCATTTCCAGGGCGTCCTCAACCGCCCTTCCGTCATCTCCGACGCCGCCATCGCCCGCTTGCCGCAAGTGGAGACCAACGTGGACCTCGACCTCCCGCCATCTCTCCAGGAAACCATCAGGGCCGTGCAGCAACTCTCCAGCGGAAAAGCACCCGGATCGGACGCAATCCCTGCTGAGGTCTACAAGCACGGAGGACGCCAACTGATGGATCACTTGACTGCGCTCTTCCAGGAGATGTGGCGTCAAGGCGAAGTCCCGCAAGATTTCAAGGACGCAACCATTGTGCATCTCTACAAGCGAAAAGGGAACCGCCAAGTCTGCGACAACCACCGTGGCATCTCCCTACTGAACATCGCCGGGAAGATCTTCGTCCGCATCCTTCTCAACCGCCTCAATAACCACCTGGAACAGGACCTTCTGCCGGAAAGCCAATGCGGCTTCCGTCGTCATCGTGGGACCACGGATATGATCTTCGCCGCCCATCAACTTCAGGAGAAGTGCCAGGAGATGCGGACCCACCTGTACTCTACCTTCGTGGGCCTGACGAAAGCCTTCGACACGGAGAATCGTGAAGGACTGTGGAAGATCATGCAGAAATTCGGCTGTCCGGAGCCATTCACTCAGATTGTGCATCAGCTGTACGACGGTATGATGGCGCGAGTCACGAACAACGGAGCTGTCTCACAGGCATTCGCAGTGACCAACGGAGTGAAGCAGGGCTGTGTGCTGGCGCCTACCCTCTTCAGTCTCATGTTCTCTGCCATGCTGATGGACGCCTACCGCGACGAACGCCCCGGCATCCGCATCGCCTACAGGACGGACGGTCACCTCATGAATCAACGACGGATGCACTTGCAATCGCGCGTATCCACGACCACAGTTCACGAACTTCTCTTCGCCGACGACTGCGCCCTGAAAACCGCCTCGGAAGAGGAGATGCAACGGAGCATGGACCTATTCTCCGCCGCCTGCGGGGTCAACGGACATTCCGGGCTCAAATCGGACTTGTTGGACATCTTCGGACCAACTGCGCCTCTCGAACTGCACCAACCATCGTCCCCCCGCCCGCCTCTTCCATGTCCTCTCTGCAGCCAACTAACTCTGACAAATCTTCTGAACCACCACCTCCATCCTCCCCCTCCTCCTCTTCCTCCTCCACTGCCTCATCGACGGCCGCTCACTCATCTATCGCTCAAGACAACACCGCACACAGCCCTGACTCAACACCAGACATCAACCCTGCAGCTTCCGACTTCAGACGTGAGGACCAGGACTACACCTGCCCTCGTTGCGATCGCACCTTCACCTCACACATCGGCCTGGTCGGTCACTTGCGAATCCATCGCACAGAGACTGGAGAACTAGTGCCTCGAGCACCAACCTACGCCCACCAAGCTCATCTCAACTGCCCACACTGCCCTCCCACCTTCATTCACCGCATGGGTCTATTCGGTCACATGCGCATACACTCATTTTACAACTACGGACCAGCTGCACCTCCCATACCGCACCAACCGGCGTCCCTACGCCCGCCTCTTCCTCGTCCTCTTCGCCGCCAACTAACTCTGACCGCTCTTCTGAGCCACCACTTCCATCCTCCTCCTC